CAGTGGGGTTGCCTAGAGTGCATTAGGCATGAAATCTCCAATTTCTCCAACCACAGAAAAAAATGGTCCTAAACACAGGACCCTGGGGTCCACTCTGGCTGGGTGGCTGAGACCACCCATGCGAACAGCCTCCCTCCACCAGACCAGCACCTTGCTTTTTAAAAAATCATTTATCCACCCCTGCTATGATATGTCACCACCAGGACCCCAAAGAAGAAAGCTCTGTGGGCAACTGGGGCATTCACCTCCAGAGACGGGGTGGGCCAGGTTATGGGGGAGGCAGGGAACTTCGTCACAATAGGGCTGTGATGCTGCTGGCCAGACCATGCTTCCTTCTGCTGAGCTAAAACCTGCTCACATCTCTCTCCGGAAAGACAGGGTGACCCAGCCTCCGAAGGCTGGGGCTGAAAGAGGCTTTAGGATAAGCACTGGAAGTCACAGCTCCAGGGAGGGACTGCAGGGACCTGAGAGCCTGGATTAGGGACAGTAGTCTGGCTTCATCTTTAGTAACCTCCCACTGAAAGGCAGCACATCCTGACATCACAAGCAGAGGCAGCAAAACCTTGCAGACCAGCCATGGTGGCCCAGAGAAGTCCTGATCTTTCAGGTCACACCCTGTTACTGCAGGCAAGCGCATCTCAGCCTTGAAGCCACAGCAATTACTTTGTTGCTGGGCATGCCAAGAAAGTAGCGTGTTTGACTCAGCGTGGTGGTGCACACTTCTAATCCCAACACTTGGGAAGTTGAGGCAGAAAGATAGCGAGTTCAAAACTAGCTCGGGCTACAAAAGAGACCCTGTCTCAAAAAACCAAAAAAAAAAAAAAAAAAAGCAGCAGCAGCACGTTTTACAATTGCTTCCCTATTTTAAAAGGAGCCCAGGGCCAGCAACAGTGAAGAACTCCAGCTCCCCCCTTTGCTAGTGGGCAAGTCATGCTCTGCGGGGAGCAGAGTCAGCCACATTCAAGGAGGCTCTGAGCTCATGGATTTGGCTCAGAACTGTTCTGTTCAGCCACGCTCGGGGGGAGGGCGCTAATGCTGGTGAATGTATGGTTGTGGGGGTGCCAGGGGCAGGTGCCGAGGCCCCCCTGGGATGCAGTGTGCTGCTCTTCTCAAGGGGAGGGCATGCTCCAGCATGCCTATGGGCACTCGGCAGCTTTCTAGTGTGTGGCATACAGCCAGCCCACCTGCTGAGTATCTGGACAACGGTCACTGTCCTCTGCACACAGAGGGCATGCATCTTACAGAAAACAGGATCATGTCACTTTCTTACTGAGATCCTCCATGGTGTGTCATAGTTTAGGACTAAGCTCAAGTCCCTGTTGCTCCTGCCTTTGGCTCTCTTCCATTGCTTGGACACTTGTGGTTACGTGCCTCAGGTTCAGCTCCTAAACTGTCTTGCCTCACCACGTGCCTGGCTGATGCCAAATGTCAGATATTAACTTGACCATCTCTCTCTGATGCCCAGTGGCCTGGCCCTGTCCTAATCTCTTCCACCACCTTTCAGCCACCCAGTGATTAGGTGGCTGCAAGGGAGGCTGCCTCTTTCACCAGACCTCCTAAGCTTCAGGGTTGGGATCACAGACGTACTCAACAACCCTTGCTGCAGGACAAATGAGGGGCAGGTGACAGAGTGAATGAATGAATGCAGTGCCTCGCTCTCCTGGGACAGATGTCTCCAAGCCCAACCAAGTTGGACCATAGTAGAAAGAGGGAGGAGCCCTGTGCTAGCTCCTACCCTGCATCTGACAGCAGGGTCTGTGCAGCTCTATGTTTCCTCACCCTTGCTGGGCCCCAGGAGAGAGGTCTCAGAGGCCACAGAGGGAGGAGCTGATGCAGCTGTGCCCAGGGCCCCTTTCTGCTTAATTGTGGGGGCGGAAAGACAGTGAGGTGAGGCCTCCAGGGACAGCAGGCCCATCCCAGCAGGTCCCTAGGGACCTCCCTCTCTAGACACATGAGAGGCCTGTGGTATAAAACCTCTCAGGTCCAGGCAGAAAAGCCTGCAGTTAAGTCCAGGGCTTGTCCCAGCTGCTACCTTATTGACATCTGCTCTGTGCAAAGCTAGCCTTGACCTCTACGGTCCCTTTTTCTCTACAGTTCTCTGCAGTGCCCATTCAGCTTTTAAGGTAGTAGCAGAATTGGCTCCTATATGCTTTACACCTGTGTATTCACCTGCTCGCACCAGATGACCCACAGGTGCTGTGTCTTCCCAGCCCAAGGCTCATAAGGCTTCCATCACCTGCCAGAGATGACCGACTACAAGTCTGGAGAGTCAAACTAGGTTGGGAGAATTCCAAAACCCATGCAACGAAGCCCTCTGCTAGCCACCTGCTTGCCCTACATGGAGAATTCTAGAAAAACTGGGCAGGCCTTTCTTCTCCTGCTCTGCTCTCCTGGCCAACAGCTTCATGGGGGAAATGACAGTGTTCGGAAGCTGCAAAAAGTGCTCGAGACTGACTCTCTGTTAGACAGATGGACAATAAATGCAATTTGTGTGCTGGGGAAGCAGTCTCAGATTCCCCTTAATCAATGGCCTCTGCTTGGAAAGGCCATGGCTGCAGAGCAAGCAACAGATACCCTGGGACAGATTACTGCACCACGTGACCCAGGGAAACTGGCTCCATTTGGGGCTCTGTCTGGGATGTCTGGGTCACAGCAGCCAGGTGCCAAGGCAGCCTTATGTGGTGTGTCTGAACGCCAGAGCAGAGGGCATTTTTCCAGGACAGGGAGGGAACGTGGGAAGCTCACCCAGCAGGTGGCTGGGCTACAGCTCCACGTTTCCTGGGCCTCCACCGGTTGCAGGCCCTAGGGACGCAGTCAGGGGAAAGATGTGGTCCCTTCCCCGCCTTGTGCTCCCTGCTCACCATGGAGGGACTCATGCTAAGGTCAAAGCAGCGTGACAGGAGTTTTGTTGGAGATGGGATGAGCCCATGAGCTCACAACAGAAGGGATCAGAGCTATGAGGAAGCATGGTGTCTGGCTGTGGCTCAGACCTGGGGCTCTGTTATTTTGTGTGACGGCAGGCAAAGCCTGCTAAAACGCAGTAGGGCTACAGGCCAGTGCCTGGCACCTAGTGGGGAAGAAATATCTTTTCCACTTCTTTTCTTTCTATAGGACGTTTGACACTCTTTTGTACACACAGAGTTAGTGGGGCCCCACTGTTTGTAATTTCCCAGAGTCCTCAGAGAGGACTCAGAATTGCAGGGGCCTTAGTCTCTGCCTTGGTCACAGATGGGGAGAGAGAGGCTGAGCACAGCTGAGGGTTCTTCTTCAGGGCAGGCTCACCCACTATAGGGTCAGAGCAATCAGGATGAAAGGTTCTGGACTCCCAGGACAATGCCCAGGGCCCTGGATCCCTGCAAGAGGGGCTTCCAGGTGAAGGAGGTTCTATCCACAGCCCCACCTGCAGCTGGCCTGGGTGGGCAGCATATCCTATTTCAGGCCCAATGTGTGCAAGTGTGGCGGTTCCCAGGAGATGCTGGGCCAGGGCTGCCCAGGTGCAGGAAAAGTCAACACCTATAGAGTTCACTGACTTGTCTTTACCAACCTGGGCCTGGCTGGTACCTGGGAATGGCGTGTGTATCTTAGTATAAACCCACCCTTCGCTCTAGTCAGGTGAATCCTGTTAAGACTAACCCAGACCACATAAGCCCCTACTCTTCCCTACCCAGGCTTCCATCTCACTCAAGAGTCAAAATCAAAGTCCTCAGTGCATGACCTGCCCCTGCACTCACTCTGCTCTGGTCTCACTGGCCTCCTGGACTGTGCCCAGACACTTGAGGCACACTCTACCTCAGGGCCTTTGCATATGTTGCTCCTGCTGTTTGAACTGCTCTTCCCTCAGGTGTGGACATGGCTCTCTCCCTCACCTCCTTTAGGTCTTAGTCAAGTGTCACTTGCTTGTCAATCATGGCCCTCCCCAAACCCCGTTCCCTGCTGTGTACCTCTCCTTTGCACTTATCACCTCGTAATGTGCTATACGTTTTGGTTTCTCTACTATTTGTCATCCCTAATCACCTGTGAATTCCATGGCAGAAAAGACTTTGTTGTTCTCCACTGTACCCCAGCACCTAGGGCTGCATACAGCACACAGTAAGCACTCCATCAAGGTTTACTAACAGAAAGGAAGCGGAGAAGGAAGAGAGAAGATAGACAATACACAGACTGACAGACTGACAGACAGACAGACACTAGGTGATACTGAGCAAGCAGTGAGATCTTTCAGGGAAGAACCACAGCCAGACCATGGGGTTCACTGCACCACTCGGAGGCAAGCAGGCCTGGGTCCTGCTTCTGCCCCTTATTAGCTGTGTGACCTTGAGCAAGTTGCTTCTCCTCTCTGATCGTCAGTTTATTGTTAAATGGGGATCCTAAGCATTATGACTGTGCCATAGAGAACTCCCAACAGATATCAGCTCAGTCACAATAAGGGCTCCAATTATTCACACGGGCCAGGCTCTGTGCTGAGCAGGAGGGACTCAGTGGTGATGCTAGACATGGCCGCTGCCTTCAAGCAGCTGCTGGTCAAGGTGGGGGAGTAACTAGACAGACCATGGCTTCCTGGAAGAGGTGGCATCTGAGCCATAGGCTAGATTGCATGTAGGAGCTGAGCCATGGGAAGAGAAGAACATTCTAGACAGATGGAATGGATACAGTACATGAAAAGGCCCAGAGGTCTCCCAACAGCAATGCACAGAAATGAGCATCCTCAATTTGACAGATCCTAAAGCTGAACTCAGAGAGGTGAAACCACTTCCTGAGGTCACACAGTAAGGAAGGGGGCAAACTGGGGTCTCAGTGGAGAGCATTCTCACTGCAGAGCCAAAGGACACGTGAAGATTTGGTGACCAGGAGAGACAGTAAGCATCAAGAAGAAGAACTGGTCCCCACCAGAGACAGGTGCAGGCATTAGGGGTGGCTGGAAGGGCCACAGCCCCCTACCTCTGCCCCTGGCTAAGGAACCCCCACAATCCGACCCCCTCCTCCAGCAACCAGGAAGGTACCTCCATCAGGTCTATAAGCCACAGCAGCCGCTCCTGGGGAGGAAGGATGGGCAAAAGGCAAAAGGCAAGAAAAAAAAAAATGCATGAAATAAATATTGGCAATGAGGTGGTCAAAGCAGCAGCCTCTTCCCCAAACCCATACACAAGTGGGCAAATGAGCATCGAGTCTCCAAAGCCACTCTGGGCAGGAATGGAGGGGGTAAGGTGAGCCAGCACCCCACCCCACATTCTGCCTGCCTGCTGCCCTGGAGAAACCTTGTTCTGTCGGAACACCCTGCACCTTGGGACAGGGTACTCCCATTTGACAAATGGAAAAACAGGCTCCAAGATGGGAAGTGGCCTGTCTGAGGTCGCACCTGTAATGCCAAGCAGACTTCAAGGAGCTGCTGTTTGTAAGCCGTGGTTGGTGCAGGCCGGATCTCATGGAGGCCCAGCCATGTGGAGGCGGAGAAGCAGTGTCTGAGAAATAGAGCCTTGGGCAGAGCCTGTGGAGCCCCTAGGATGGGATGAAGGGTGGCAGTCCCCCAGCTAAGTGCTGTCCAGAGGCTTGGATGTCCATAAGGTTCAGGATACAAATCTGGGGTACAATTCCCCAGATGGTTTCCCCAGCAGGTAAGGAGGTCAGAAAACACCAAGGCTTCACCTGCCCTCAGGGTGTGGGCAGCCTTCCTGGGATGCTCGCACACGTAACTGTTATCAGTCCTGGACCCAAGGTTGAGGCATTCTCTCTCTCAATCCTCCCAAAAAGCTGGGGAGGTGGTGTCATGATCCCACTGCAGGGAGGAAACTGAGGCACGGAAAGCTGAGGAGACCTCCCGCACCACCGCCTGCATGGCTTTCTCTTAGGCACAACTCCAGGAACCTGACCCAGCCTGGGTGGCCCGTACCCTGATGCACATGTTGCTCCTAGGCTGTCTTGGACTCTCAGAGTTGTTCCTTCCCACCTCAGGAACTTGGGGAGGGCTCCAGGGCCACCCCCTCTGTCCCCCAAACTCCCTGCTCAAAACCATCCTGTGGCCTGAGATCTGCCATCCCCAGGCTGTTCCACTTTGCAGGGAGTGTCCCACTGTTAGGAAAAGGTTAACTGCCACAGCCAGGGCCAAGCTGGCTTGAGAAAGTGCTGCTTGGGTAGGGGAGACACCTTGGCAAGGACAAGGTCACAGTGGGCCAGTATCGGGCTGAGGCTGAGCTCGGCCTCCTGACCCCTGCAGAGTCCTTTCCAGTCATAATGGCCCCTGACTCTTCCTGCCCTCCAGCAAGACCTATACTCAGGGCCTCTGGCTGCTGAAGCCTGAGCCAATAGGACCTCTGGTCATTTATCCATGGGGAAACTGAGGCCCAGAGGCTAAGTCTTACACCTAGATCTCCTGTCTTCCTGATTAGAACATAACTCAACCCCAATGCAACTGTGGTCCTGATTCTAAAGGGACCATGACAGAGCTAAAGCCTGCAGTTCCCCCAGGGATTAGAGTAGCGGCTCCTGAAGCCTCATGTGGACATTTCAAGGCCAATGTTAACAAAGCTGAACCAAGAGAAAAATGGCCCACAGGTCAAAGCCTGGCAGCCTGAAACCACCTCATCACCAGCATGTGGCATCAAAGTGCATGCTTGGAGCCAAACTTGCAGCCTGAGGGTGAGAGGCGGCTTCTCCCTTGCAACAGAAATGACCTACTCTCCCTGAAATGTGAGATGGCCTCTGGGGCAACCATATCCAGAGGTTACGAGGGAGAAACAGCAAATTCCGGAGTCACCCTCGGAAGGGATGAGGACCCTTGGGAATGAAGGTGACTCAGGAAGAGAGAGATGGGGCAGGAAGTACAAGATTTCACCAGAAACCCAGGGCCCAGAGCTAAAAAACAGCTTACAGTGGGGACGGAGTCTGCAAAAGAGGGGTGCACACTGCCTTGCCTGTACCCACCAACCATCTGTGCCTGCAGCCTGTTCCTTCTCCAACAGAATGGCTGCTACTGTAGTCTCAATCTGAGACATCCTCAGTGACAGCTTCCAGTATGACATCTAGAGCAACCATTCTTAAGAGCCATCACTCCCCTCTCCCTTTCCAGAGTAAACTGGGACAGAGGATCCAAAGGCCAGAAAGGAGGCAGGGCAGGAGGGAAGGGAGCTAGGCCAGGCCCTCCCACTGCATGGACATCAATGGCCAGTTGTCCCCCAGGATGGCTAACAAGGCACTTACTCCTGGGGTTAACTTGCTACTGGGAGCAGAACTACACCTCAAGACAAGTCAGATGCTCTTCTGGGGGGCTTGAGAGTTTGTGAGAAAGTAAAGTTAGGCCTGAGCTCCGTAGGCAAGAGGGTAGCCTCTCCGGCAAGCCAGAATCACCGTCAAAATTGTTATGACCGTACTACCATGCACTGAGTGTCTGCCCTGAGCTGGCACCACATACCGTGCCAAATACACTGCCAGATCCCACAGACCGTGCTGGTGAATTTTTTCTGCTTGTCTAATTATCCTGATTTTTAAAAAAATCTTTCTTCCCCAGGCTCTGGCTCCTCAGACTGAGATCCTGGTAAGGCAGGCTTCTTATACACCAGCCATCCCCGGAATCTGTGTCTGGCACACAGTAGGCACTCAACAAGTGTTAGATTTTTACAGATGAGGAAACCGAGGCAAGATTCAGAGTTGGTAGGTGGCGCGGGGATTTGAACCCAGAATATCTTAACTGTGCTCTGACCTTCAGGCCAAGGACAGAGCAGGGGCAGCTCACCCTGGCCGAGCTGACGGTGGTGGAGGTGCCGTGGCTGCCTGTGGATGAGCCTGTGTCGCTGTAAGAGCCATGGAGTAGGTGTCCCCACCCCAGGGCCTGGGGGCTGCCGTGCCTTCATGGACTCGATCTCCTGCCTCAGTACCAAGTGGTCGAAGCGGTCCAGGTCTTGCGGGGAGATGATGCTTCTCACCTCGGAGAGAAGCGAGAACTGGAGGTGGAGACACATAGAACACTCAGCAGACAGCTACACCAGCAGGTGGGACCAGTATTCCTAATACACCTAAATGACCTACATGGAAACTGGACCTCCGCTCTTTAACCCTCAGTGGCTCCCCAGTGTCCTCAGGTGAACGTCCAAACACCTGGATCCCGACTCCAGGCCCAGCCTCATGTGCTCTTGAGCATACACTCACGACCATGAGTCCCAGAACTCACCACGACGCTCAAGGCCATGGAGCCCTTGGCTGTGCTGTCCGCCCAGAACACACTTCCCCCATGTCCCGGGTCATGATCCCCACGAGGATGCCCTCCCTTTCTTCCTTTGTGCAGCTTCTGAACCTCAAACAGGCTGGCAGCACAGCACAGTCGTCTGGGGGCTGGGCACTGCTTGTTAGGAATGACCCAGGGGCTTCTAATCGTGCATTCAGTGCTGACCGCCACTGCCCTAGGGCCCCAATCACAGCTCTTTGTCTGTGTCTCCAGAAGTCTGTGAGCCTGCAGAGCTCTGCTGGTCAGCTGAGTCTGCCCAGGGTTCAGTTCTGTAAAGGAGGTGGGGGGTTAGGAGGGCAGGGGGAGCACGTCACCTTGGCGTGGGTGTTGAGCAGCTCAAACAGGGCCATGGCGAGGGCCTCCACGGAGACGCTCCCGCCACGGTACTGGTCCAGGTAGTAGGCCATGGTAGTGCGTTCCCGCTCGGTAAGCAGGTGCCGAGCCTGCTCATCCAGCAGCACACGAGTCTGGTTCCCCAGGCTACTCAAGGTCACCTGGGAGCCTGCTGGGCCCTTGTAAAATCCAGGCTGAAAGACAGGAGAGATGGAGGCCCGGGGACTCTGAGCTGCAAAAGGCTCATGTGGCACTTTCTCATGTGTCCCTGTACCTGTTCAGTCACAGTGTCCCACTGGATTCTCCAGGTCTCAGTATCTCCCTCGGTAAACCAGGGTGACAGAAATTCCTGTATTTCTGAACTATGACTCAGGTCTGCACCCCCGCCACTCACATTGCCTCCCGGTCTCCCTGTGGTCCCCTTGTCCTCTCTGTCTTGGAATGATTAAA